TGCTTCAACAACAATATCATTACCGAAACTGTTTCGATAAATGTAATGGTATAAGGTTAGATAGAGAACTCGAACCAGAACTAAACCGATGCCATTATATCTTTACGATAAGGCTCGTGGTCATTCGACAACAGCGTTTAACTTTGCTATGGTATCAGCGGACTAACAACTCTAATTAGGTAAGGATGGAGAATAAGGCTAACCTAACTTGCATGACAAAGGAAAAGAATCATTTAGCTCGAGCTGTGGTGGGAATCGGGCGAGTACGAGTTTGATACGCGAGCAGAACAGTCCGTGTACACTGTTGGCCGTGAAATTTGACCGTGTGCACGCGCTCGCGATAACAAGGGGAATTCAGGCGACACGAGTTGTCTCCTTAGTCGCGAAGCACTGAGGCGTGGTCGATTACGCTGTGAATGAGCAACCGCCAGGGTTTGTAGATTCTGGTGTTGTGTGTTCAACAAGCGCGGCTAATCGGGACTTAAAGCTAGTCTAGTTAGACTTGAGTGAATGTATGGCCCTGTAGTAAGTCATGGAGAGCTCTTCTCCCTCCATCATGACATGAAGATGTGTTAGATAGTTGATTCAACGGCTGGCTATGCTGTTTGTTATGGCCATTACAGATGTCATAACTCTTGTGGTCTCAGGGCTCCAATACTCACTTTGACATAACAGCAAAATGAGCAAACTAAACCTTACTTGAATCGGTGCCAAAACTCTATCTAGAAGCTAAAGAACGTTCTGTGTTTCCCATAAAAATATCGTTAGAACTTGTTCAACAAAATTAGGGTGCTTGGATAACTCTCCCCGAGTTCATCATATAGCTCTTAGGCTTGACTGAGGAGGTACATTTACAGGCGTAACTAGCCTTATGTTGACAACCTCAGCGTTAATAACCTTGTCTGGTGTATTATTAGTAGAATAAGGAGCTTTCTCTTTCCCTTCTTCCATTAGTGCCAACAATCAAAGTTGAGAAGTCCGGCTTTCTGGGTCAGAATTGGCATTTTGGTCGAGAAGTATGTAACGCGTGTGAAGCAATTAAATACTTTGGCGCATAATGTATCGATGCTGAATCAACTTTTATAAGACATAAAAACAATATTTTTTTTCCAGAAAGTTCTTCTAAAATACGTAACTCATCCTATTGTTGTTGTAAACCAACTTGATTACAACTACAAACCAAAATAGCGAGAGAGTTTAGTTGAGATTTGCAGAAAAAAAATAGTATTAACACATACCTAGGTGAACGTTAACTTAGTTGTTGAAAAAAAAAATATTTTATTAGAATCCTTAGATGCTGTAACATAGGAATATTACAGCGCAAACAGCATAAACAGTAGATTATTTAAATTTCCTTGCGAGGTATTTTCTAATGGTACACATTGTTTATTTTCTTTCGTAAACTTTTTTCCAACAATATACGTCGACTCTTCACGTTTTATTAGTGATTGCTACTTCTAATGACGCTCATTATTTTCTTTCTTTCTCATAGCGGTATTTTTTCGAACATCGTAAACTATTTCTTCACTTTTTCAAAGCCATACTTAGCAAGTTATAAAATTGTACCAGAAGTGATAACTAGTTAAGTTCTAAAGCAATCTTTTGAAAGGAAGTACGCAATATTTGTGAGATCTGAGACAGAAAAAACAGAAATACGTATAAATTATAACGTTCTTCTAAAAATGATAAATATTTATTTTAGTATTATTAAAATTTAAAATTGTCATTTTAATTAGCCTACTTACGATTAGACACATAGATTTTATTACTGATAATATTACGCTTAGACCGTCAGACTTTGCAGTTGTTTTTGCTTTATTTGTAAGGTATTAATACTAACTTCGTAAATAGTTATTACTAGGTCACCCATAGACTACTAGTCTTAAGTTATTAATAACGAGACTTAAATAAAAAGAAGCACAAGCGTTAGGTAAATATGAAGTAGAATTTAATTAAGAATTGAATCTATTGTTTCTATTTCTATTTGTTAGCTGATAAAAAATTAATACGTTAGTAAATTATTTAAATTAGTAATTAGTTACGTATAACTATAGACGCGGTATACATGGATACTATTAAATAAGAGGGGAACATACTGTTAAATTTTCCAACAACTGAATCTATAAACTGGAAAAATAGCTTAACTTTAGATACATATAGAATTATTGGGTGGGTTGATTGATATTAGAAAATAAACAGTGGTAAAATTTCATTGTATTTAGAGGTAGTTTTGGAATAATTAAATGTTGTGGAATTTCTTGGATGTTATTGATGCCAGGCTTGGCTTATGTTTGAAAATTATAAGCTTGACTGCGACTTTCAAGAAGAACCAGAAGATATAGTGGACTGAAGTCGCAGAGCTTGTTTACTGAGATGAGGCTAGAGGTAGATCTGAGGAAGGTTGTGTTATTAGAGGAAGAAAACAACAGATAAGGTTAGAGGTAGATCTGAGGAAGGTTGTGTTATTAGAGGAAGAAAATAGCAGATGAGGTTAGAGGTAGATCTGAGGAAGGTTGTGTTATTAGAGGAAGAAAACAGCAGATAAGGTTAGAGGTAGATCTGAGGAAGGTTGTGTTATTAGAGGAAGAAACTAGCAGATGAGGTTAGAGGTAGATCTGAGGAAGGTTGTGTTATTAGAGGAAGAAAATAGCAGATAAGGTTAGAGGTAGATCTGAGGAAGGTTGTGTTATTAGAGGAACAAAACAGCAGATTAGAAGCAGAAATCAGGGAAGCAAGACAGAAAATGCATAGAGTTAAGGTAAACGTCGTATTAAGTGAGAATGAGAATCATAGTGCTCGGTTAGCAAGGGTTAACATAATGGTAAAAAAAACCGTCCAGACTATAGATACAGATTCAATTAGCCTCAAAGTGTCAGTTTTTTCCTAATATCTTCGAATTTTTGATTGCCTGCAATAGAGTACGAGATGATAAAAAGTTTTTCATAGTGTGTGGGGGGACTCTTTTATTAAAGTAATTTTCATAGTACATGTAGGAGCAAATGATGTTGGAAGTTGTAAACCAGCTTATCTGCTTAATAAATATAAACTCCGTGAGTGCTATATGCGGGAATAAATTACTCAGCTGAAAATCAAGGCTTAAATGAAAGATATTCTTAGAGCAACAAGTAGGCTGATTGGGCCTGTGGGATAGTGTTCAGGATAATGGTGAATTACATGCTAGAGGTGGACTCTACATAAGCAGGTTAAGCGATAGGATGTTTGGGGAAGATAAATATATTCATTAAAATAACAGTTTAAACTTGCGTAATGTAAGGAAAACTTGGAAAAAATCAACCTGATTGTATAACTAAGACGATGGGATTTGAAAAAAAATGATATAAAGTGTAAGTTTTAAGGATAAGCCTGACAGATTTAAAGATAAAGCGAGTAGATTGAAAATAAGCTTAGTGTTAGGAGTATTAAGAACAAAATGAATGAGTTCAGGGCTCTAGTTCAAAAGAAAGACTATGTTATAATGGGAATTACTGAAACTGTTATATTTGAAAAAACATGATAATAGCAATAATTCTGAAACTATAGGATTTAAGTTATTTAATAATGGTAGACTTTGTAAAAGAGGGGATGGGTTTGAATAGAGGAAAATTAATCAATTAATCAATACCATTTGATTTGTTATGAATTTCGCGCAAACCTACATAGAGAAATAACTGCCACGGTAAACGTAAAGGGGGCTATTATAATTTTTCGACATGTCTGGAAGAGGCAAAGGTGGAAAGGGTCTGGGTAAAGGTGGAGCAAAACGTCATCGTAAGGTGCTGAGAGACAATATCCAGGGATCACTAAGCCAGCCCGCTTCACGCCGCCTCTGCGAGCTAAACGTCTGATCATCTCTGGTCTCATCTACGAAGAAACCCGAGGTGTTTTGAAGGTTTTCCTCGAAAACGTAATCCGTGATGCTGTTACCTACACGGAGCATGCCAAGAGAAAAACTGTGACCGCCATGAATGTAATGTATGCTCTGAAATGACAGGGTTTCGGAGGTTAAATGTCCACGTTTCACTTTTTACTAGCCGTCCCTAATTTAGCAGTGAAAAACTAGAGGGAAGGTAGTTAATCATCACCACCCACCGCCAACTCTTTTATCAACGAATAACCATAACATTATAACGCCCTCACGGCTGAAAGGGCGAACATATCTGGTAGAGTGGGAATTCGAACCCGCGACTTGCAGATTGCGAGTCAAGCACCCTAACCACCTGGCCATGCTAGACCGGGCCATCTACTGTGTCCATTGCGGGGAATCAAACCGCGAATTTATGCTTTGTAAGTCCGCAAACTTACTGCTGTCCCACCAGGGGACTAAATTAAAATATGGTAAGATATACGCTTAATTCTAGCAGAGTTATTGTACATGGTAGAAACCCAGATGCGTAGGTCGTGGACCACATTAAAATGCGTGTTACAGTTATTGAGCTAAATAAATGCTTTTGCGCACTAAACTTTTATAAAACTTGAAATTATTGAAGTACTCTGCGAAGTGTTTAAGTAGTTAAATATCGCAAATGTTTCAATTCATGTTAACTCAGTTGAATCACATAATTATCTGGGGTAGCCGTGACCTAGTGATTCACGTATCCGGACTATAAGTCCGAAAATTCAGAGTTCGTGTCTCTTTGTCGCAAAAATCGATTCGTACTTTGAGGCCATGTGTTCGCTGTGAAAGTGGCGTTTAAAATACTACTATGAGGGTCAGATAATATAGCCCAAGAGTTTTTTGTTGATGCTGTTTACTGGCTGCCTTCTCCGTAGCTTACCAGTACCAGTTAAAAATTAAGAACGACACAGTTTGTAGCCCTCGTGTGATTTTACGGGAAAATACTGAAAAAAAAACACACATTAGAAACAATTATCAGCTTTCTTCGCATACAGGCAAATTGACAATATTGATTTCACACGACAAATTAATTTTATTTATAACAACTGCAGCCCTATTTCATGACAGACTACTTTACATACTGGAGTATATTGTATCGTCTTCTATACATATAGGCGAAATCCTGCTTGAATAAACTGACAGTATTGACTTCAGACACAAGAAAAGGTTTTCTAAATGTAAAAATTACTTTTATTTATAACAATTACAGCTTAGGCCTATTTTACTAGAAGCAGTTCATCATGTTGACTATCGCCTATAAATCATCATGCCACAACCTCTCGAAATTTGTCTCTCTGTAAAACTTACTAATCATATAATTTACCACCGAGAAATTTTGGCTTTAAAATACGAAGTTTAAAACTGTCTAAACCCCCTTTTTTACGACTACCCGTTTTAAACATGTACACTAAAGGGCAAACCTTTCTTCAAAAATCGCAATAAGAACCATAAATAAAAAACCCATCAGTACACCGACGTTTTTCACCAATATCATCTTGATCTGGTTGTTTCCTTTCTTCTGCTTCAATTCAGGTAACTGTTAACGGTAAAAATAAATAAAATTATTCCATTATTAGTTTTAGTTCAAAAACATAATACAAAAGACAAATGTGACCATATAAGCCTACGAGTTGTCTTGTTTTCTTTTTTGTCTGAAATACAAGAAGACAAATATATGTAAATACACTAAGCTTTCTTGGCATACATTGCTTACTACTTTAAAGATTTGTTTGTTTTAATTCACTAAATAAAAATGATTAAAAATTTAAAAAGAAGATGAAATGAAAAGGGTTTCGCTTTTGCAAAACTTCGAAAATTCTTTTGCGTCCGTAAAAAATTAATAGGAAACGCATTTTCTTCAGAAGAAGCTAAAACGTGCTGTTAAAAGTTTTGTGATAATAAGTCAGTAATAAATTGCCAAGGAACGTAAAGAAACACTTAAGAGCCAGGTTCATAGTTACGGCTTCAGTAGTGTGTGTGTGTGTGTGTGTGTGTGCGCGATTATCCATCCACCAGTTATATTATAAATGAATATATATATATATAAACGCACATACACACAATTCAAAGTTTACTTCAAGATGGGTATGTTTAACAAAACATGAATTATTTCGTTTTTACAAATTGCTCTTCATTTGACCGGTTTCGTAGTATAACTGGTTACTCTTCAGCATGGTGTTTATTTGTTGTTAAGCACGAAGCTACACAATGGGCTACTTGTAATCTGCTCACCACAGATATCGAAGCCCAGTTTTTAGCCTTGTAAGCCTATAGGCTTACTGCTGTGCCACCATGTAGAACAAAACATTTTATGTATTTAGAATAATAACAATAATAATTAATTTGAGAATACCTGCCTTAATATAATTATTCTATGTAATGGACATGTATTAAACACATGAATTATTTAAGATATAAAACGATAAGATTTGAGAGCGAACAAATGCGTGGCTTTATACGCTTTCGTGTGTGTGAGAGAGAGAGAAAAAGTTTGTAATGAATAACCTTAATGTTTCTTTTGATTTATACACAGTACATTTAAAATACATTTGTAATGTTAGGAAACCAGTAAAATAAAGAACGGTTAGGAAGGAATGAGAGGATTCAAGTTTAAGTGTGTGTAATTGTGTTGTGTATACATCAGTCTTTGCATTATGCACACGTGCTGCCATCTGTCGTTCAGTCTTTATAACAAAAGTAAAGTCAACTGATAATTCTACAAGGAAATAATAAATTTATTCTAGCCTGAACTTTCATATAGTTCGGATAAATCAGGAATTTCACACTGGCTGGTGGTTTTAAATAATCTCTAGTTATTACGTAAAAACAAATGTTTGAAGTATTAAGTTCAAATAACCACTGGAACATTCGATTCAAAATCACGTTAAAAAAAATCATCATTGCTTCTATAACAAGGTTATACCAGCAATGACTATAATCTGTATTGCGCAGACGTGTCTGTAAATATTTGTGAATTGTTGATTAGTTTGTACCTTTAGCTTACGTCATTACAATAAATATAAATGTAGGACTACTATCAGTGCTGTTAAAGAAAAATTAGGTAGTGGGGTTGTCATTTAATATAGTTCAGTTTCAAAAACTTGACAATGGAATTTGATTATTTTTACTTTTAGTAAGACGTATAAATAATAACATTGGTAACAAGGCTGTATTAAGTATCCTACGTTTGGCGTTCTAGTTGTTAATTTCGAGTCATAATACAAACATAAGCAGCCTGATTAATAATCAACAATTTCATTCCACTTTGATACCTATGCTAGTATTGGATACAAACATCACTAAAACTAGTTACCCAACTTGTAGTATGGCGGACCATTCTTACCATATCGCCAAGAGATATTAGGTAGTATTCATTTCAAGCTACAACAGCTTACCCTAGAATATTTCACATTCAGCAACTTACTAAAATACCATCAGCAGTATTTAATATCCCACTATTGGTATAGCCGTTTGTACGTACCATATCGCCAAGAGCAACGTACAGAAAGATGCCAGCAGTAATAGTCAGTATCCATTTCCTGGCAACTTCATCCTCTCCAAGTTCAATCCCGATATATAATCCTATGAAACACGTCAGCGCCGAGATGAAATTTAACAGTAAGGCTTTTCTGAAGCTCAATCCAGTAGATAACAGAACTACAAAATCCCCTAAAGAAAACCAAATTTTATAATAAATAATTTAGTAATATGATTCAGATGCGAGTTGAAACGAGATACTATAATCTCAGTTTACCAATGTATTCAATAAAAAAACTTAAAATACACCTTTCGAATTAAAAAAAAAAGTTAGTTTTTATAATAATCAGAATATGATAATACAGAAATATAGACACACGCCGTTAAACTAATAATATTAAAATCCCAATATGGCGTGGAAACAAGGACAACACACATGCATTAACTTACAATAAGATTTTTGTAATCATCGTTAAACGATGAAGCAGGTGTCTATCATGATTTTCGAAATTATCAGTCAGTGCATTAATTTACGGGTAAGGCCGTTATTTGCAATAGTCCTCCCCCCAAGTTAACAAATGTATACATGCAGCATTTTAAACATGGATATATATACGCTGTGGGCATTTTGTATTAAACAGCATAACATACCGAATTCGTGGGGAAGCTCGTGACAGAGTACTGCTAACGACGTGGAGAGTCCTCCTTTTAAATTTCCAGAAAATGCTGCGCCAATGGCTAATCCATCCGCTAGGTTATGAATAGCATCTCCAAAGACTATGACTAGTGCTAAGGAAGTAAGACCTACATACGGAGAGAAACAAGGTGATTAACATAACTTGTATAAAACAAAGAGGCAATATTTTGTTGAACCATCTTAACTAATAACTTTTTTCTTTCACATTAAACCATCCTAGGCGTAAAAATGAAAACTTGAATTCCAAAAGTTTCAAATAACATTTTATGTCTTAATTTTTAAAAGTTATTACCTAACTAACACTACAAATTCTTATTGGCGGCTATATGAATTAGCCTGGTAAAGAATATTCTTTTGTGCTGTTCTCTGGATGAAATAACCCAAGTTTTTACAGGTATTATTGTAACAGGTTCCAACGTTGGGCGGGTTCTTTCGAATTTTTTGGTAAACGTAATGCCAATCCGTGTAATGATTTAATTTGTTTCTTCAATAGATGTTTATTCAACCACGTTCATTTGTAGACTTAATTTCAAATACATAAACGTTTCAAGGTAAACTCCGAAACGAATCTAGGCCTAACTTACTTGTAGAATTCCACAGCTAATCGATCAGGTAAGTCTTCACTGACTCTCCTATTTATAATATATCTTTGTTTTTAATATTACACGAATATTCTCGATTCTTAACTCATCATGAACTTTCTAAATATTCCATCAACAATCAATATGGTTAGCAGCTCCCTCTCTAGCAAACAAGTAATATAGCTTACAACAGTATTGTTGCACCATGTTACTGTTGTGATGTGATTAACAAAAGATTGGTATTATTGATGCCTAAAATGGTTCGTCACATTATAAAACAATAAAAGAAGTGTGATTGCATTTTTTAACAACTATAGATAATTCTGAACATATTATCTGTCATAACCAACACTAAAATTATCGTATTGTACATGCCACACCATGTTTCTGATAATAAGCACCAAAGTTTTCTTTAAATATATAATCAATATGGCGTATGGACATAGTTTCGTTTGGAGAGGCTTTCTGTAAAGCAAGGAACTCATAACGACACAGAATGCCGAGCACATTGAAATTTTAGTTTGTGACTAGTTTCAACTGTGTTTCATGCAGAACTTCATCTTCAGAAACTTCAAACATGGCGCGGCATGTTACAAGATATGCAACATCCACGTTGGGAGAGGTGACGGGGTACTGTTTACAAAAGTTGCAAAAGTAACTGAAGTAAGTTTTTGTAGTAATAATTTCAATAACTCTCTCTAGTAAACATCAATATTATAAGCAGTTCTCTCCAGCAAACAAGCAATTATAACATTGAAAGTACAGCTTGCAACAATAATGCCATTACTATAAATATATTCTTATTTGTTATTGAGAGTGTGTCGGTGTTTTAGACCAATACATTATTATACCACCTGATATGGGACAATTTAGGCCATTATTGTCTCCCATCCTTTGAAGCGCTTGATCAAATTCTCTATAATATCTAAACAAATTATAAAACTGTACCTTATTCCTGTAACAGTACAGTCCATTGGTAGTTTCTTTTGAAATTAGAATATTGCAAAACGACAATTAATCCTGTTAGTACATCTCATTCTATATTTTGTGTGATCACTGTTGCACCTTTGACATCGCGAAAGTGTTTACCATATGTCACGATCCTGGTCAAATCAATAGTTTAAAGGTATAACCAATATAAATTTATACAATAAATTAAAAGAAATTACATAGTGCCTAAAAGAATTTCCAAAAACTCCACTTCTTAATGTTACATTTGTATTGTACACGAAACACGTTGAAATTATAAAAGCTATTTTGTTTATTTTTGAATTTCCTTTTAACTTAACAGAACAATACTCGTCATGCAATAATAATCCGAAATAGACGTAATACAACATTAGTCTTGTGATGGTGAATGATATTTTGATATTTAAAGAGGTAAAACTACGTTGTACCAATTGCTAAAAATAGCAATAACACACCAACATGATAATGGCTAAAGAATTAGTATAAAAAAATTAACAGTTGCGACAGGTCATTCTCAAAGAACGCAGTAAAACTGGTTTCAGCGTCTTGTGTATTCTGGTTCAAACCGGCTCCAGAAGGGTCAAGTTTCACTAAAAGGAGTAGGGTGCAAAAAACTAATATAAAAATATCAATCAAAAGCAAAAAAACTTCCGAATAGGATCGAGTTCAAATCATATGTCATTACTGGGCATTTTTTTCTCTATTTTTTAAATATTGCTATCTATTCTCATGTTCACTGGTTTAATTGAATTGTGTCTTAACCAGCTTATAAGTCAGTGAACAAATTTTAAGTCAATTTAACAATGGGAAAGATAAGGTTGAGGTCTACTACAAACAGCGTATTTACTTATTTCCAGCCCCCCAGTGGCACAGCGGGATGTCTACGGACTTACAACGCTAGAAACCGGGTTTCGATACCCGTGGTGGGCAGAGAACAGATAGCCCTTTGTGTAGCTTTGTGCTTAATTTCAAACAAACAACAACTTATTTCCTTGTTCTTGTAATCGTGTTTATATTGGACAAACAAAATGGTCTTGTTCAATTAGAGGAAAGCAATATGAACATCAAAGTTGACAGGAGTTGGAATGGCCCGGCATGGCAAGGTGGTTAGGGCGCTCGGCTCGTAATATGCAGATCGCGGGTTCCCACCAAACATGTTCGCCCTTTCAGCCGTGGTGGCGTTATAAAGTTACGGTCAATC